GGATATGAGCCACCAACATTTTGGTAAGCAGTGATACACAGAGTACAAGACAGTGCACTGCATTAGTTATGCACTTTTAAAAAAATTTTATTTTATTAGTTTCAATGAACATTTACAGAGATTTTGAATTTCTATTCATTCATTGTTGCACTTTTCTCCCTGCCCACCCTTCACCCCCAATTTGCTCTTCTCTTTGAGAAGTAAAAGAAAAATTCTTTCATTGGTATACAATCCCCCTGCACCACCACCACTCCCCACCGCCCCGAGTACGCTCCACTATTCAATCTTAATTCTGGATTCTTATGATAACCATAACACCCTATCATATACTGCTTTTAAATTGTTCTCTCCCCCATCTGTTTCAATGCAATATACATAATTTATCCAGTTTTTCTCAGTCTTACCCCAACCCTGATGTCAGTCTCATTCTACAACAGCGGCACCATGCAGTATTTGTCCTTTTGTGACTGAGATATTTCACTTAGCATAATGTTCTCCAGGGTCACCCATTTTGAATAATATTGCATTAATTCCTTGCTTTTCAATGCAGCGTAGTATTCCATTGTGTGAATACACCACAGCTTCTTGTTGTTTTGTGCCATCAAGTTGCTTGTGACTCATAGCAACCCTATGTACAATAGCTCTGAACCCTGCTCTACCCTGAGCCAACCTTGTCGTCTCAGATACACCTACCCCCATTACTCTAGTCATGGAATCAATCCATCTCATCCAGGGTCTTCCTTTCTTAAGCTGTCCCTCCACCCTCCCAAGCATGTTGTTGTTGTTGTTATGTGCCATTGAGTCATTTGCGACTCATAGCGACCCTATGTACAACAGCCCTAAACCCTGCTCTATCCTGTGCCAATCGCATTGCCTCTGACACACCCATCCCGATTACCCCAGTCACTGAATCAATCCACCTCATAGAGGGTCTTCCCCTCCTGCACTGTCCCTCTACTCTACCCAGCATGATGTCCCTCTCCAAAGACCTGTCTCTCCTTGTAACATGTCCAAAGTATGTCAGACGAAGCCCCAGAATCTTTGCCTCCAAGGAGTAGCCTGGTTTAACCCTCTCTAGGATGAATCTGTTGGTTTTTTTGGCAGTCCATGGTACATTCAATACTCTTCTCCAGCACCACAGCTCAAAGGCGTCAATTCTCCTTCTGTCCTCCCTAGTCATTGTCCAGCTCTCTGATGCATAACAAGTGATTGCAAAGACCATGGCCTGTATCAGGCACACTTTCGTCTCCAAAGAGACACTGTTGCTCTTGAGTACTTTAGAGAGGTCCCTAACCACAGACTTTCCCATTGCAACACGTTTTTTGATTTCCTGGCTGCTGGTGCCAAGAGTGTTGACTGTGGAGCCGAGCAAACTGAAGCTGTGAACTATCTCAATCTCTTCGCCATCCATCCTGATGCTACCAATTGTTAGTATAGAAAATATTCTAGTAAAGTATATGTGTGTTAAAGAATGACCCACGATATTGTAATGCTAACCAAATGACTGGAGTTTGAATCCACTCGTTTCTCTTTGGGATAAAGATGGGCAGTCCTCTCCCTTAAATATCTGCAGCCTCAGAAAGCCGAGGGCCACTCTGTGTTGGAATGGACTTAATGATAGTTGAGTTTGACTTTTTTTGTTTATATGCTTCATATGTAATCAGCCTTCTCCCAATCAAAATATCTGCTAAATAATTATTTTCTTTAAAAAATTTAAGTTTTATCACCCATGTTTACTTTGTTCACAATAGCAAAGAGTGGAAAACAATTAAAGTGCCCATCAACAAGCGAATGGATAGAGAAGCTGTGGTATATTCACACAATGGAAAACTATGCTGCACTGAGAAACAAGGAACTCATGAAATATTACACAAAACGAGTGACCCTGGAGGACATTATGCTGAGTAAATATCTCAGTCACAAAAGACAAATACGGCATAGTGCCACTGTTTTAGAATGGGACTGACATCAGGGTTGGGGTGAGACTGAGAAAGATTGAATAAATTATGTATACTGCATTGAAACAGATGAGGGAGAGAACTGTTTAAAAGTGATATATGATTGGGTATCATGGTCATAACAAGAGTCCAGAATGAAGGCTGCATAGTGGAGTGTTAGGGGTGTGGTAGGGGGGAGATTGTACACCAATGAATTTTTCTTTTACTTTTCAAAGAGAAGAGCGAACTGGGTGGGGGGTGGGGTGGGCAGGGAGAAAAATGCAACAATGAATGAATGAATGAATGAAAAGTCGAAGTCTCTGTAAACGTTCATTAGAATTAATTTAAAAAATTAAGTTTTATGCTATCTTCCTTTTGTTCTAGCTTATAAAATTGTCTTAAGTAAAATACTTTCTTTATTAGATAGCATTTGGTAAGTAAAGTATAAAAAGGCATGAAAGACTTTATCCTTAATCTCGTCCTAATTGCCACTTAATATTTTTGGCTGATCCACTTAATGTATCTAAGGAAGAAACAAAGGGCATACACAACTAGCACACAGTGAATGCACGTAACATCCCTGCAGAATGCATAAATGCTGAAAGAACACTTGGAGAGCGGCCCATATGTCTTGTTAATAGAATTAACAGATCTTATGTTTTAAAATAATTTGTCTTCTCAAGTTTGCCTTATTCTTTTCACATAACAAGAACTTGGCCAGAGCACATCCAATTTTCTATGACTTGGCAGCCAACATGCTAAAAAGGATAGTTACAGACCTCAAACTGTCCTCTCATTCATTCATTCATTCATTCACTGGTTCAATGAATATTTAAGTGCCTACCACGTGCCTAGAATGAAAAACCACCTCAAGTCACTGCCAGCGGAGTAATTTTTATTTGTCGCGGCCCTGTAAGACCAGGTAAGGCTGCCATATAGGGTTTTGAAGGCTGTAATCCTTGAGGAGGCGGATGCCTTCATTCTTCTCCCACTGAGAGCTGGGAGGTTTGAGCTGCTAACCTTGTGGTTCACAGATGAGAACCTTAACCACAGAGCCAGCAGAGTCCCCTGCCTGAAATGTGGGATGGGGTGGGAATAAGGAATCAACATAACTCTGTATTCTTGCAGCTTACAATATAAAAACGACAGAACAGACCATAAATATTAAGTGCAGAAAAAGCAGAGAATAGGTGACTGGACAATAAAAGACAGTGATTCGAGAAAGGTCAGAGAAGGGTTTACTGGTGTCAGATGGTCAACTCCCAACAAAAGGGGAAATTCTGAAGCTGTAAAACTTGAAATGTGGGCGGCCAAAAACCAGTGAGTGGTGATGGCACAGAGAGAAGCGTGACCTAAAGAATAAGGCGGGCTGTGCAGGATTTGGGGGGTGTGGGGTTTCAATTTTATTTTGTGTTGGAAACATTTTGAGTGTGTGTGTAACTTACATTTTCTGTCCCTAAATAGGTAACACTCATAACACATTACATTTTCTGTCCCTAAATAGGTAACACTCATAACGCATGCAAGGTCCAAGATTACTGAAGAAAAAGTATCCCTCTCTTTCCCAAGCTACTCAAGTTTTCCTCCAGGGAGGGAACTGTGTGAATCTCTCCGGAAATACTCTATACACTCACTCACTTCCATGGAGTCGGAAGCGACTCATGGCTGACCCTCCAGCAATTTTCAGACATTATAAAGCACGGAGGAGGAAACTGCCCATTTTGCTTCAGCGGTTGGACCTACCTATAGACTATACCAGCAGACATACAGGCAAACCTACAGCCTAAGGTATTTCAAGCAGGAGCGGGAGCCACCAGATTTGCGTTTTAAGATTCATGGCTTGCTGCGGGGGGCCACGGCTGAGGGCGGGGCTGTGCGCTCCTGCGCACGCATTTCCCAGACCCAGCTCCGCCACGCGTTCGAGGCTTCCACCCCTCAGATTCCCAGGGACCGAGGCTGCCATGCTCCCATCCACACGGCGATCCAGGCAGAGTCTTCGCGGCTCTCACCCTCCTCGGCCACCAGCCTAAAGCTCTTGAGCTGCGGGACTTCTGCTGTCATCTCAGGTGCACGGTGGGTTTATCCCAAAGGTGGAAGCGAGTTCAAGAGAAGCAGAGCCAGAAAGCACAACCACCACCCGCGGTGAAGGAGACCTGTGGGCGTGGCCAGGGGGAGCTGGACCACCGCCGGGTCCGGGCCCAGGCTGGGGGTGTGATCAGCCTGGGTGGGCCCACAGGGGGCGGGGCCAATCTGGGGCAGGCCCAGTCTTCGGGGCGGGACCACTCGGGAAGGGTCCAAAGCAGGGGGGTGGGTCCAGTGTTGAGGGAGGGACCAAAGCAGGGGATGGACCTAGTGTTGAGGGCGGGACCACTGGGGGCGGGCCCAAAGCAGGGGGTGGACCCAGTATTGGGGCGGGAAGGCCCGGGGCGGGCCCAAAGCAGGGGGGTGGGCCCAGTGTTGAAGGCGGGGCCAGGCCGAATCCGCGCTCCTGCACTTTCCTGGACTCAGGCTTCTGTCCTTAATTCGCTCTCCGCTGGCCACCTACCGGGCGGGCGGTGGGCGAGCTGTCGCGTGGGGGTCTCCAGATCCCAGAAGGTAATCTGCCCCAGAGCTGGGTAACTAGATCGCCAGGGAGCCAGAGCAGAGGGTGGGCAGCTGGATGGAGGCAGAGGGGCGCGTCCCGCAGCGAGTTTCTGGGGAAAGCTGAACTCCTCCCGAGTTTTGTGCATCAGCCTGCGCCCGGCGACCTGGTGGCAGCCTCGTTCTTTGCGGGTGGTCTCTGGGCGCTGGACGATCCGGAGGTGACGGGTTTGATTTGCACGATCCGCAGCTCGAGCGTCTCCCAGAAATCGCGCAGCGCGGAGGGCGCTTGGTTTTGCCCGAGAAAAGGGCGAGTAAGCGGCGCGCAGCTCTGCCCGGAGCCCGGAGCTCAGAGTGCGTGCGTCTGCGAGACGTGAGGAGTCCCGAGGCAATGCTCTCTAACTTCTCTCCTCTTTAGGAAAAATTAGTGGGTGCTGCTCCCCTCCCCCCGCCCCCGCGGGGGCTGACGCCTGAAGGCCGGGCATGGACGGCGAGAGCAAAGTGGACTTCGCTAGCAAAAGCTTCAACCCTTTGTGGTGGAAGAAATCGACCCCTCCATCCCAGCTGCTGGCCCGAAGCAAGCCGAGGAGGCCCCAGTCCTACCAGAGCCCCAGCGGGCTGCTGATCACGGATTTCCCGGTGGAGGACAGAGGGACACTCCCTGCACCGCAGACCCCCGCCCAGGTGCCCAGCCCCTCGAAGACGGTGTCCAGGAGCCCCCTGCTCTTCTACCCTCCTCTTGGGCCCGAGAGTCCGGTCGTCCCGGAGCACAGGACCGGCTCTCCAAGGCTCCGACCTCCAAAGTCACCCCAGGTGCCCGAACCGGCGTCTGGTGACTCCCCGAACGTGGCAGTGAACGGCACGCTGCCCGCGCTGGCGCCGAGGCCGCC